AGGATCAAACCAGGCAGCACATTATTTTCGAATTCCCGCTGATAGCGTAACTAATGCCCAAAATGCTCCCAAAACCTGAAAATCTGGACATTCAAATGTGAAATAACTAGTCGCCTACCGCCCCCTCCAGACAGAGAAGAGAAGACATCAGATCTTTCCAAAAGTGCCGAAGCAGCTGACTTTGATCTAGATGGTTCGAATACATCTAAAATAGGGCGTTTTCGCTTTTCGAAATGCATTTTGCAAAGTTGGATCATCAAAACATACCAGGATAATTCGAAAGGCTTTATAAACCTATTATTTGGCCAATTTGAAACAAATAGCATTCTGCGGAGATTAATGAATAAAATACCGGCCTCTGTGATACATGAAAAATTCATTAAACTGAAATTGAATTAAATTTAAAAATTAATTTCAACGATTAGGAGGTTGACATTCTCACTGCACACGACAAGGATCTCTTAGGAGGTCACATCATATTCTAGTTGCGGCAGAGTAGCCACTGTCTATTCTCTGTCAGAGCAATTCAACAGATTCGAGAAATCTTATCACCTGCTCTTCATAGGGTAATGAGGTTCAGTCAGGCTGTCTTCGGGCTTTTGGTATGAAACGGTAATACTGTTGAATAACTGGCTGAAAAATTTTAAATAATAATTTAGTTTAGTCAATCAGCGAGCTTAATAAGTTTCATCTAAAAGTTCTATAAGTCAGTTTATTTGCATTTCGCACCTTTCAATAAAGACAATACCTCTCTGCACATTGCTGGTAAAGTGAATTTCTACTCGTGGCACAATGCCTTTTACTGGAATTCAGTCAAATATCTAATATCAAACTGAAATTTTTCGACGTAAGAAGAACCACCTCAAATCAGATGAATTAAATCATACCAACTAATAATTAATGGGTTTCAGCGATACGGCCAGAAGCTTTAAATATTATCTGATGACTGCCAGTCACTGGTGATTTTGTGTCAGCTTTTAAGATATCCATTAACCCAACTTAAAATTCGTTTTATGTAGTTACTACAAGATCCAAGAGCAGTGTGGCTTCCGGCCCGGTCGAAGCACCTCTGACCATATATTTGCTCTGCGCCAGATTGTTGCGAAATCGTGGGAGTACGCCTAGCCGGTGTACATGTGTTTTGTGAACCTAGAGAAAGGGTATGACCGGATCCCACGCAACAGTCTGTGGACATGCCTTCGTGCATACGGGATTGATGGATGGCAAGTTGCTAAGGGCCATCCAATCACTGTATTCTGATAGCAGGTGCTGTGTCAGAGTTAATGGCGAGGAAGTTGCTGAGGGCCATCCAGTCACTGTATTCTGATAGCAGGTGCTGTGTCAGAGTTAATGGCGTTAAGTCGATACCATTCAGTGTTCGCACTGTTCTCCGCCAAGGCTGCGTCCTGTCCCCTATCCTGTTTGTGTTGTACATGGATAGAATAG